CTCAGCATGTACTCGGTGGTTGAGAGGCACATATACATGCTGCTCCCCAGGGAAGGACAGAAACCGAGGTTGGAACCTCAAGAATGCCAACATTAAGGGGCAATGAGGTCACCGAGAAGCTGAAGAGTGGACAAGCCCAGACTGGGGGCATTTACAGTTGTAGCATCATTTAGAGGTGCTGAGGGTATGCTGAGACTCTCTGGGACCACGCTGGCAAGAGGGGTAAGGGGAGATAGAGTGGTTCGCCAGGGTCTTTCTGTGCCATCGACTGAGGTTTGTATCCTGGTAGACAGCGAATCATAATTCACTGTGGTGGAGAAATCATCGTAGAACCGCTAAGCTCAAATCTAGTTTTATCTTCCTGTGGAGGACTCTTCAGCCTCCTTCCTCTAGTCCTCCGGAGATTAGGAACCAAGCTATAGCCCTTGTCCCCTGTGCAGGCTTGAAGCAGCCTGACACACACGTCTATGAAGATGGGAGGGGAGACGGTGTCTCAATTTTGAGACAGGCTGACTTCATTTCTGGCAGGTAACCTTGTAAGCTATGGTGATAGGGAAATTCAGCTAACTCAGTAACTTAAAAAGGAAATGCATCTCTGCCCAGCCCCCTCAATGTGTTTCCCACGTAGATAAACGTCTCTGGGAAGTGAAAATTCCTTCCCATTATTTGGGCCTCCCTTTGCTCCAGCAGAACAATACCCAGGGTCAGCTGGTCACTTCCTGTGGGCTGTACAGATGGGGGAGGGGGGAGGAGCAGCTCTCCACGAAACACACAGCAAAAAGGGGCTTCAGAAGCGGAGGCAAGATTATGACAAGGAGCCTGGGTGGCACAGTGGTGAAGCACTGGGTTGGTAACTAAAAGTTGGTCATTTGAACCTGCCAGTTGCTCTCTGGGAGAAAATAGGGCGGTCTGCTTCTTTCAGATGACAGCCTTAGAAACCCGAGTAGCAGGCAGTTCTGCACGTCCCTGTGGGGTTGCTGGGAGAGGGACCAACTCAGTGGCAATGGGCTTGTTTGGGTTTTGGTTTGAAGTTTGCAGCAGTGGCTGCAATGACCAAGTTGAGCAAGTGAATTCAAGATTTTGGGTATGTGTGGAAATACGTAAACACAAAGGCCTTTTCCACTCACCTCATACACATGTGAACGTTGGACAATGAATAGGGGAGACCACAGAAGAATTGCTGTATTTGGACTATGTTGGTGAAGCATAGTGCAAGGACCGTGAATTTCCAAAAGAACACATGAATATGTCTTGGAAGAAGTCCTATCAGGATGCGGCTTAGAAGCAAAGATGGCGAGACTTCATCTCATGGACTTGTTATCAGCCGAGACCAGTCCTTGAAAAAGGCATTGTGCCTGGTGAAGCAGAGGGTCAGTGGAAAGGACTAACAGCACAGTGACTGCCACAGAGCGCTCAGACGTAATCTTTGTGAGGATGGTGCAGGACCCGGCAGTGTTTTGTCCCGTGGTACAGAGGGCCCCCTATGAGTAGGAGCCCACTTGAAGGCCCTTAACAACAACAACAACAACAACAACAGCTTCTTTTGGTAGTTTCCAATAAAAGACTAGGAGGGAAGGAAGTCTTGGGAGGATGACCCAGTTTTGGAGGCTTCCTGTACCACATCAGCCTTCCCTGAGCCTTGGTTCAGAGCTCAGGTGTTTGAACTTTTCTCAAGGAGGAATAATCATTCCGTTCTCATACTTTAAACGTAAGGTCTCAGACCCTCCTCCAAATACGTAGTGTCCTCTGGCCTAGGAGGATTGACTTCGGGTTTGGGTCAATGGAGAGAGTAAAAGGCCCGGGACAGAGTGAATGCACTTTGTTCTCAGAAGCCATCTATTTCTGCACGTGGATGACCCTGAGACAGCTTCCCGGAAACTGGAATAGGCAGCAGGAAGTGAAGAGGGCACATTTGAGCCCTCCGTGAAGGAACATGGTGTAGAGAAAGAACTGAAATGATGAAGATTGGCTCCTACTTTGGCTGCTTAGAGAAGTTTCTCTCAATAACCTTCAGTCGATGAGAATGGCTTTATTCATGTGGCTATTTTTGCCTTCTGTCGGTTAGTGACCCCTTTCCCACTCCAACTGAGGCTGTCCCCAAGTACCAAATCCCCATGGGAGCCAGGGCGAGAGCCTGTTGAACCCTTTCTACTAATGGCGGTGTTTTATGTAGTGCTGATGGTGGGTAGGGACAACTTATCATCCCTGTGGACCTCACTGTACCTGGGTATCAGCACTGGCCGCCTGCTCTCGGTTCCCAGGTCTGCCCTCTTACAGTTCATTCTCCACCCACCATCTGGATGCTGTGTTTCTAACCTCGATCAGAGCATGCGCCCCTCCGGGCTTGAACATTTCAACTACATTCTAAACCCCTGGCTGCCACCTGCCTCTCCACCCTTTTGTGGCTTGACTTGCCCACTGCTCCAGGCTCTCTCAAACAGAGAAAGCACCTGACTGTACCTCCAGGGTGATGCTGCCATTGTTAGCTGCTCCCAAGCCAACCTTTGACGCATGGTGAGCTCATGCACAACAGAAGGGCATGTGGCCCAGGTCTGTACCATCTCTGCGATTGGCTGTGGATTGGACTGGTATGGTCCATCGCGTTTTCATTGGCTGATTTTTGGAAGCAGTGCACTGGGCACTTAGTTTCTGTTATATAATTAGCACGCAGTTTACATCTTTCATGTATGTGGGAGGAGTAAAAGCAGAATGTTTAACACAGACTAACACCAGGAGATTCTTCCGATTAATGATTTCCGTGGGAGCCCTAGTTCTGCTTGGGCGGATAAACGAAAGGCCAGTAGTTCCTAACTACCAGCCATTGTACAGCAGAAAGACCAGGCTTTCTACTCCCATACTGAGTTGCCATCTTGGAAGCCCCCAAAAGCAGTCCCTCCCTGTCCTGTAGGGTCGCTGGGGGTGGGGGTGGGGAGTGCGGACTCCATGACAGTGGGTTTGGTTTGGTGTCATTCATTTTTAAGATTTAAGCTTCTGTACTTTTTGATATAGCTATTGCTGGAGGGACTGAATTAATTTGTTCCATATACACCGCAGCTTCATGAAGATATAAGGCTTCTCATAAAAATTTCTTTTTTTAAAGAACGTTTTATTGGCACATAATCCACATATCATACAACTCAACAGTTCAATTATATTAAGAAGAGTTGTACTATCAAATTTAGAACATTTTCTTCTTTCTTGCTCCTTGTTATTAGCTCCCCATTTCTCCCCAACCTCCCCTGACATACACCCAAGGAACCATTAATCCAGTTACTCTCTCTATACATTGACCTGTCTTTGATTTCATATGCAGAACAACATACGGAAGAAACAACAACAAAAACAGTGTACCAAAGTCAAACAGATAAAAACCTCAATTGAAAAGAAGGCAGAAAATACTAAAAACTAGAACATTAAAAATGGGTCTAAAGGGACATCAAATGATAAGGTGTTAAAATTTTAACCTAATTGCACCTGTAATAATCCACTTGCCAATACACTCTGCATAATAGCAAGGCTATTCATATCCCTAGTCTATGATCAGAGGAGATTAACTGGGGGCTTAACCCACGAGCAATGGTAGTGGTTGCACATTGCACTCCGATCCGAAAGGTCGGCAGTTCAAAACCACCAGCTGCTCTGCAGGAGAAAGATGGGGCTTTCTATTTCTATAACAGTGAGAGTCTCTGGAAAGTCTCTATGAGTCAGCATCACCTCGATGGCGGTGAGGTTTTGTTTTTTGTTTTTAATTTCCTTCACTTTTATTTTTAAACTTAACTTTAAAAATGGGTCAAAAGGGAGATCAAATGATATTACATTTTTACCTAATGGTATCTGCCATAATGTTCTCTGGTAATAAGGCTTGGATTTTATCTTAATGCATACTTATCAACAAGGAGAAAAGTATGTGTTAGCAGCTGCAGACATAAAACTGACTCAGATTATTCCCTTCCTGAGATTGTATGCAATGGCATCGAATTGATTCCAACCCACAGTGACTCAATAGGGCATGGGAAAATACTTACTCCCCAGGGTTCCCAAGGCTGTAAATCATTACAGGGAGTAGACTGTCTCATCGTTTCCCTCCAAAGCAGGTGGTGGGTTCCAACCCCCGAACTTGCAGTTAGCAGTACAAGGTGTAAACCACTACACCACCAGGCCTCCTCCTCCGATGATAAAGGCGGATACTTAACCAAAGGTGCTACCATGTGATTGGCTAGGGGTTCGTGCAGGGTCAGCACACCTGCTGGTGCGGAAATGTCATCTCTAGGAAGGGGCAGTAAGTTAGGAAAGCCAATCTGAAGTAAAGCCCTATTTGGATGAAATATGACAAGCGCCCAGTTTTGGAAAGGGTCAAGTTGTGGGTGAAAACCTGTTGGTGAGCTTGCCCGCCGCACTTCCGGCTTCAAGGCTATGCTAGGACTGCAATCTGGTCCTGGGGGGTGACTTGCATCCTTATTGCTAGACATTGGTCCAGCAACTGCATTTCTGCTCATGGGATGTCATGCCTTGCCAGCTGTGGGCCTGGTGGGCCCCGCCCAGGGGACCCTTGCACGGACACCGCAGGAAAGTAAGCACCTTGGTTCCTATTGGTCAAGCCTATCTAACACGTTCCCTCTTGCTTTCCCCTGCCCTGGGCTGGCCCTGGTCTAAAACCCAACGCCCCGCCGGCGAGACCAGTCCGCAGAGGGGCCAGCAGCTTCTCCGGTGCCGCGCGGTCACGTGCACCGCGGGCGCCCCGGGAATGGGGGACGTGGAGGTGGGCGGGGCCGCTCGGCGGGCCGCCTTCTGCCGCGGACGCGGCTTCTCATTGGCCTAGCTTCCTCCGCGCCCGGAAAGCTCCGCTTCGGATTGACTGCTGCCCTCGGGGTGGGCGTGGCTACGGGAAGAAGGCGGGGCGGAAGGGTGGGCGCGCTCCCGCGGGGAGGGGTTGCCCGGGCGACGCCGGGCGCGCGCTCAGGGGGGTGTGGAGGCGAGCCGGGCCTGCTCCATGACGAGTCGGAGGGGGACGGCTGGGGTCCGGCCCCGAGACGCGGAGCAAGAGGGGGCAGAGCGGCCTTGAGCGCAGCGCGACGGGTGCGGACGGCCGAGGCGGCGCGGGGCGCGTCCCAGGTAGGGTTGCCGCGCCCTTACGGGGGGCTCCGGGGGGTGGGGCGCGCGCTGCGGAAGTGGGTGCGCCGCCCTGCGCCCGTGGCTGCGGGCGCCCGCGCTTGCTGGGCAGTTGGCGGCCGGCTTGCGCCCCGTGCTCGAGCGGCAGCGACGCGCCCGGGCCCGCACTTGCACCCGAGGGCCCTGGGGAGGCGGCCCAGCCTCTCCCTTCTGCCGCTCCTTCCCCACAAATGGCCTCTGCTTCCACTTCCTGCCCTTGGGGGCCTCCAGCTCGTGGACGGTCCACTTCCTCGCTCCTTTAGTAGCCGCGGCGGGCAAAGTAAGGGCTGCAAAGTATTGCCGAAACTTAGTACCTTCGGAGCCTGTGCTGAGCAGAGGTCACGTTCCCGAAGCTGCTTGCCCTGTATTGTGAATGAGCGCAAAGTTGTCCCCCCTCCCCCGCCACCCACCCCGCCCCTCTCTCCCTGCCCCACCTTAGTTCCTCTTTGATAAGGGTTGGTACGAATGCAGTATGCTTTCTGTAGGAAGCACCGTGGGCTTGGCCTGTGCCCGAGCCAGGCGTTGGCACGTCTCTTCCTCTCTGAACCACTCATGAAGGTTGTCTGTCGCAGGGATTACTAATCTAAGCAGTACTCTCCGTGCTCGTTCGCAGGTGCATGGGGGTGGGCTTCAAGATGTTCATGGAAAAAATGGACTCCAGGCTGATGGAACCCACCCCTCCCCATAATTCTTGAAGCCCCTCGTATTAGAAACACAGAATTTCGATGCACCCAGGTCTCTTTTGAGAAGTCTCTGTGGGTTGTGGACTACTTTGGGCATAGACCTGGCTGGTTGCTCATTTGCTTTACCTGCCTCTACCCCACCCCCCTTGTTGAACAATGAGCCTTCTGCTTCGTCCTGGTTTTCTGACCTCACTCCTTTTGTTGAAGGAGTGGGGATGGATAGTGGACACAAGTTATCAAAGGGCAGAGAGTCTCTTTTACCAGTGTAAATGATGGCCTTGTAAGATAAGCAGTGAGAGATGCTTAGATGTCCAAACTTGAAGCAGGCTTGATGTAGTGACCATGAAAGTTAGCATTGCCTGTTGGGCACAACAGGGATGTTGGAGTTGAAGACCTTGGTTTGATGCTGGTTTTTGAAACCGTGCTAGTGGTATGATCCACCACGTATTTTTTCACCTCTTCAAAGACCAGAATTTACTACCCCTCGTCCCCCCTTTTAAAGATAATGGTCGTACCCATCGCACTATATACCCACCTCACTTGTTAGTTAAGAGTTAAATGAAACACAAACGATTTAAATTGCTCTTTATGGCATTGGGTTTGGGATAGGGGGTAGGAGTGGGAAGAAAGTTGTGAGCGAGGCATCTTTGGTTGGGAACATTCATCCCACGTGAAGGGTTTTAGTGGATGCGACCACGTAGAACTACGAGACTGGAAGAGAACCTTCCTGAGCTTTCCAGTGTACCTTGTCTCAAGGTGATAAGACGAGCCGCGCTTTAATTGGCTCCATTTACTTCTATACAGTCCCTTCTGCTGGACATACAAGACACACACACACACACACAGACACACACACGCACAATGAATCATGCTGGTAGATCAAAGAGTCAAAGTAACCTGAAAAATAGAACTCGTTCCCAAACACTTGGGGGTGAGGAGAGAGAGAGGGTGTGGGGGAGACGACTAGGAGCCTCAGATCATCTGCTTAGCACCGATCTTGATCAAACCAATGGTATGGGGGTTACCCTGTATTCATCTCTAACCCGTAATTACCGGGTCCTTCACCATCTTTTCGAGGTCACCGTTGGAGCTATTGCCCGAATCTAGCTAATTGAGCGTTTCCCTTAATTTTTGCTGATCCTCTACCAAACATGTTGCCCCTTCCCAATGAGTACTCTTTAATGATATGTCTAAAGTTAGTGAGAGCTTCTAAGAATCGAATCAATAGTAGATAAATATTTGTCCTTGAGAACGTAACAGTGAGCTGTCTCCTTTAGTTCCTCAGCTCTTCTGTTACTTGGGAATATTAATACGGGTATCTGTGTGTGCATCAAGAGCCCTGGTGGCACTGCTGGGGAAGTTGTGGACTGTGAAGCCTGGGAAAGGTTGTTAGGAGCTCTTAGGAGCGTCAACTTGATGGCAGCGATACAATTAGTCAATGTGTGCACCACCACCCCCCCCTTATCTGTCAGTGTGTTGTTATAGCAAGTTGCCATGACACTGGAAGCTAGGCCACTGGTGTCTCACGTATCAACATGGTGGACAGGTTTCAGTAATGCTTCCAGACTAAGACAGACTATGAAGGAGGCCCTGGTGATCTACTTCTGAAAAACACAAGCAAGTGAAAACCTTACGAATAGTGTAGCATTGTCTGCTGTAGTGTTGGAAGATGAGCCCCTCCGATGGAAGGCATGCAAGATAAGAGTGGGGAAGAGCTGTTTCTTCAACGTAGAGGAATGACATACCAGGGAGGTACCCCCCCAAAAGCCAGATGTGATGTGAGGGGGATAGCGCGTTAGGAGTTCATTCCACCAGGTCAGGCTGTCAATCAAACTTTCTATGTAGAGGCTCTGAAATGTGTCACAGTTTGCAACTAAAAAGGCCCGATTTGTGGCAGACGGGGGACTGGTTTTGCCACCACGACAGTGCATCTGCTCACGCAGCCATCTCAGTGCACCAGTTGTGGGCAAAAAACAGCACGTCTCTCTTGCCCTTCTTTTTGTTTCCACTAATGAAGAGGGACATGAAAGGTCAGCGATTTGTCGACCTAGAAAAGGTGAAGAAAAAAATGAGGGAGGTCCTGTCAGCCACCCAAACAGATGAGTTTGAAAAATGTTTCCAAGACTGGAATTGCAGATTTGACAAATGTATTAAGTGTAATGGAGGGTACTTTGAAGATAATTAGGTTGTTTTGTAAAAACATTTCAATACATAGCTTTTGGGGGCAAAATAAGATCCTGTGTTTTGGGGGGTGACCCCCTCATATATGATGCAAAGCTTTTGAGACCTTCATGTGCTCCTGTGACACAACTCAAATTCAAGCTTTGAGTTGAACTATTAAAGGATTCTACAATGGAATTTTATTTTACTTGGTGCAAGTCAGTGCTCACGGAAGCAGCAATCAAGAAATCAAACGATGCACGGCATCAAGCCACTCTGCTGCACAGACCGTGCTAAAGAGCAGAGACGTCGTTGAGAACTAAGGTGCGTCTATGTCGTTGAGAACTAAGGTGCGTCTGTGCAAGCTGTGGGATTTTCAGTTGCTTGTTACGCGTGCGGAAGCTGGCCATCGGATAAGGAAGACAGGAAGAATGACAGGCGTTTGAATGATGGCATTGGGAAGCATGTTGAGTGTACCATAGGCTGCCAGAAGAGCTGACCAATCTGCCTCAGAAGCCGTACAACCAGATACTGCTTAGAAGGGAGGATGGTGAGACTCTGGCTCTCTTACTTTGGGCATATTACCAGAAGAGGTTCTATCCTGGAGAAGGCCGAGTGAAAGGCCCATGAATAGGAGCAAGAGATGAACTGACACAGTGAGAGCAACAGTGAGCGCAAGCAGAGCACTTTGGGGATGACACAAGACGGGCAGCATTTCATTCCATGGGTCAGAACCAACTGTGCAGCACCTGACAACAATGCTTAAAACAAACAAACACCAAGCTCACTGCCATTGAGTCCGTGCTGACTCATAGCGACCCCTGTGGGTTTCCCAGATGATAACTTTATAGGAATAGAAAGCCCAGTCTTCCCCCTGAGGAGCTGCTGGTAGTTTCGAACTGCCGACCATATGGATCACAGCCCAATGTGTAACCAACATGCCAATATGCCACCAGGACCCCTCAGCTACAGTGACAGCAATGAGTACATGGAGTGATGCAGGAAACATCAAAGGAAGGAGGAGGGAATCCACCAGATTCCCTGTATTAAAGAGTTGGACAGTTCAGCCATTTCAGGAGGTAGCATGTAATCAGGAACTGGTGGTATTGAAGGAAGGATTCCAAGCTGTCATGATGGCATTGGTGACAAGCAAGGCTCCGGGAATTGATGTAGTACCAATTGAGATGTCTCAAAAAATGGGTGTGCACCACTTGAGCTCACTTGTCTGTGCTGTGACATTTGAAAGACAGCTAGTTGGCCTACCGACTAGCAGGAAATCCGTAATAGTGGCTGTTTCAAAGAGCGGGGACCCAACAGAAAGCAGAAATTACCAGACGATCTAGTTAATGTGACACGTAAGTAAAGTTTTTCCTGAAGATCATTGAAAACCAATGGCAGCAGTGTATCAACAGGGAACGCCCAGAAACTCAAGCCAGATTCAGAAAAGGATGCAGAATGAAGCTTCATTGCTGATGTCGAAGAATAACCGAAAGATGTTTACTTACATTGATTAACTGTTTATAGACATTTGGTTGTGTGCATCATAAAAACATGTGGGTGCTGTTGTGATGATGGGGAGCCCCAAAGCACTTAATTGTGCTCATGCGGAAGTTGTTTAAACAGAACCAGGGTTAAAATCAAGAAGGGTGTGTGTTAGTATGGTATCCTTTCGCCATACATGTTCAATCTGTGTGCTGAGCAAATAATCCAAGAAGCTGAACTATATGAAGAAGAATTCAGCATTAGGATTAGAGGAAAATTCATTTGCAACATGACAATATGCTGACAACCTTCACTGTGAAGCATATCTTGACATGAAACCAAAAACCAAATTCGCTGCCATTGAGTCATAGTGACTCTGTAGGACAGGGTAGAGCTGCCCCTGTGCATTTCTAAAACAAAAATCCAAATACGTGGGAAAGTAGACAACATCGTGGTAAATGATGACAAGACTGAAGCTGTCAAATTTCCTTGACTGTTCCCTATCATAATTATAGATGAATGTCCTTTGGAGTTGTATTATTTGGAATCCTAATACAGAAAAATATTCTGTTAATTAGTAAATGAAATCCAACTCACTGCTGTCGAATAGATCTGACTCATACTGATCTTATAGGACAG